CTAAAAATTTCATAGAATATGATTCAAATAATGTATTGTTCTAATTTGTGCTTTCTAGTAACTAAGAATTCAAGTTAAAGTAAATATTTTGGTAACCGCCTAATGTCAAACAAGGATAATGTGGATTCACGAAACGTCTCTCCATTACTGCGAAATCGTTCATTGCTATTTTTTCGGAGAAATCACTTATTTTAGCTAAGGAATAACAACTAGACACTTACGGTATGTATTACTGTTAAAGTTCTCATTCACAAGATAACAACATTGATAGTTTTCCAATTTCAAAAATACATAGATACATTGCAAACAATGGTATCCAATATTTCAGCTACACTATCTATGTCTAAGGTTTATTCACAACGTCGAGCAAAGTTAAACATACACTTCGCTCTTAAAAAGATTCTTAATGAGATTCGAACAACTTTGTCGGATAAATGAGTTAGAATTCTTCGAAACAGATAATCGGAACTCACTCCCAGATGACTAAAGTGCTAAAATGAATTGTCTACCTACTCGCAAAGAATGCAAGAAGTGTCGCAAAAAAGTGCTAAACCCACCAGAGATTCACGTGTCATAGTCATCTCATTACTGATGGGGTTTTAGCGTTTAGTTGCTTAAGAGTGAATCACTAGCATGCATGAACATTACAATCTGCCAAGTTGTGCCTATTTCACTCTTTAGATCAAAATGCATAAACTTAGGATCGAATTCTGACATCAATTCTGTGGAATATAAATTTTGGCCAAATCGGCTGTAGGTAAGCGGGAACTTATTTGGAATGAACAAAATAGAGGTGAAATGTGTTGTGTGCTTAGATAGCAGTGGAGTATAGGGAAAGCGGTACTCTGCACTCGGCAGAAGCCGGGACGTGCGGCTGAGGGCGGTGGGTCGGAGGCTCCGTAGGAATGCGGCCGCTCCCCCCGCATCACCCTCCACCGCCGCCCGCCGCGCCAAACATTATTTATGGACTTTGTAAACTTTAATCACAACTTTCAGATTCCTTTCAAACTTAGAGAAAAGCTCTCATGACACGCGAAAGCAAGAATTCGTGCTAACTGATAACTGGGACAGAACATTTGAATTACCGTTTTATTTGTACCCGACTTTAAAAAAAGAGGAGACTTTGGAATACTTAGGAAATTTTCTACTTAATGTAATAAATATAATTATCACTTTGAACTGTTCGTTAGTTAACTAATAAAAAGTAAGCAAGTCGTAAGCCAAGTCAAATAATTATTTATTGGATATATGATATTAACGCCCGCAGTTAGCTTGAAAAAGTGTTTTTGTCAAATTTCCGATAGACCGTTTGTCGTATATTGAAAGAAGAATTTTAATCGCCGAGAGGTAAAAATTAAAATAAACCATAATCAGATATGATGCGTGTTAAGGCGTTTTCTGGCAAGGAGGAGGTAATATAAAATCGACAAAACGGCTCTGCGTGGCCATGGAAGGAGCGAACGCCGACACATTCCCGAGGCTTGAATCGTAAATTACGGCAGCGCGAGCGGCGCCGGCGCCGGGAGGAGAGCGCTTGTTACGATATTTGAACAAATTCCCGGCGGTGTTAATCTGCATAATAACAGCGGCGGATACAAAGCGGTTGCCGACTCCCATTATGCGCGGGCGCCACCCCCTCCTGCGCCCGCCCCTCCGCACTCCTCCAGGCACACTGCGCCCGAATACCTATACGTGATTACCCACACCAACTACGGTGTTAAATCCACCGCCTTATCGCTTGCCATCGTAATGAACGACCGCTCCGACTTTTCATACGGATTATTTATGAAAAATATCAAGTGATGGATAACGTGTAATTTAAAAAATCGGACCATGAGTAGCGTTTTAATTTACACGAACTGTTGTTCCGGTGGTTAATAATAATTACGATACTGACACCTACCATTGGCTTAATTGGGTAGATTAACTTTTTATGTCCCTGTCATAATTTTATTTCAGCAGTTATATTGATACAGGTGCCATTAATAAATGAGATAGGTCGCGCTAGCCGACTCATCGGGAATAACATTTAAGGAAAAGAGAAGAAAGTTTATTGACGTTGCAAATGTATGCAGGGTTTGATGCGCTACAAAAATAATTAAACAAACGTTAGCTCGTTAAAGAAGGTGCAATTATGAGTGTAATAAGCGGGAGGGCGATAACAAAGGAAACGTCGAGTGGAGTGCTATCTCGTAGCCTCGTTACCTGCCATTACGCGGAGCGGCCGCCCGGCCCAACTAAATCGAACCTACACCCCCTGCACCGCGCCGCGCGCCGGCTCCCACAAAACGCTATCGCAAATGTACAGCTTAATATTATTGCGAATTCTTTTGCATTTCGTAGAGGCTTTAATTAGGTCATAATATTGACTTGAGTGTTATTTGTTTAAACAACACCATACACCACATATACATACACACATTTAAAAAATGTTTAAGTTATGTTAAATGGGTTTATTTTGTAACAGATCTACGTTTATGTAATGTAAAGTTTGCATTAGTATATTACATAGTCGGTAGATCCGTGTGGCGCTGTAGCTATTAGCTCTGTGATTCAACCATACATAATACCGAACTAAATAGTCATCTATTGAATCACACGGTGATTATAGACTTGTGGATACGTTTTATTGTGATTATGAAAACTTCGTCTCGCCAAGCTAGCAACACGAGTCTTAATAGACACAACAACGGTGAATTTCTAAAACATTCTAGGAAACTGTAACAAATGAGAATAGTTGGAATCTTTCGAAAAGATCGGTAACGTCGCCGTCGCGTACATTAGTGAGAGGTGCCAATATTTAACAGTTATGAATATGCTCGGGAGGCACCCACGCGTCAGTATAGACGACGCGACAAATCGCCAAGGTTGACTTCAATGATACGGCGCGCGCCGCCGGATTTTTCAGTGAAATAGTTTCATCGGGCGGTTTCGGCGGCGGTGACGGCAATGTCTGCGCCGGCGCGCCGGTCGATGCCCCCGCGGCCACGCGATTTGGCTCCACTCGACGCAACTACTAATCAAACGACGTTGCCAATATAGTCGTTTTGCGACTCCAGCGTATCCATCGACAGGCCACACACAGTAACATCTCTACACATATCTGTTCTCTTCATTCGTGTGGTCAGAACTAACACATTATATACCTGTAGACATCAGCCAACTGACTCGTGAACAAAAACGAAAGTAAAAATTGTTTCAAACATATTTCATAAAAAGCAGTCTCGACGTTAGACGAAACAAAGCACTAAACGTTTCATAATGGATTGGCAAAATGAACTCTAATCTATATCGCAATCCTCATGCCAGAAGGTAAGTAGGCGTGTGACGACTCATGCCAAACATTCGATGAGACGTAACGAGACAATTCTCGACGGCCTTTTCGTAAACGAAATTATATATTTATTTATAGTTCGTAAAAACTAAATGCGGTTCGGTGACAAACATGACTAATGTAGCACCCATCGGACAAAATGTTCAAATATCGATATAAATTAGAGTCAAGTTGGCGCAAGCGACTATTGTTAATGCCGAGTAGCGGGTCCGATGCACAAGCCATAGTGCAGCCGTAGACGGCTAGCTGCATCCCGCTCGCGCCCACAACTTATCAATGAAATGCCTGCGCAGCCGCCGCCGCAACGGTGCCTCGCGTTCCTTCTTCTGACGTAACAAAATGGCGGACAACAAATTTACGTAGGTACTTATCCTATTTAAGTATTTACAAAAAATTTGCTTGCAAAATTAACAATGCTTGCAATATGCGCCATTAAATAAACATAATTCCCGAGAAGTAGTGAATCTGAAGTGTCATGACTACGAAATTACGTTCCAAAGAACAGTTACACAACACAATAGATTATTAAGAAACGATGGTGTTCTAACATTGCGTTCTTGTACTGCACATAGTCATAAAATAAAACATCTGAATACTTATATCATCCACATGCTTGAAATAAGGAATTTGGTTTGTGATTATTGTAACAATGTAAGTAACTATACTTATTATCAAGATTAAAGAAACATAGTTAAATATCAACTTTATACAAAATACGGCATTAGTAGCGCCATCTACATTTCACATTACGAAGCAACAATCAGACTTGTACTCTTAAAACTGACCAAGCTACAAAAGTACCTATAGATCACGCTAGGTGGTAGCACTGAGCGTAACCACTGCGTTTTATCGGCTGAAAATATCCTCTTATTTAAGTAGATGGCGCTGAAAGCAAATTATTAACTGGATCGTTTTGATATTATTGTACAGTAGATTGTAGGCAATTATATATATTAAATAATCTCCTTTTTTGAAGTCAGTTAAAAACAATGGTGGTTTCTTTCAATCAATGTTAAACTTGTATTTGGAGAATATTTTATTTTAATTATTAATAACAATTTCGAGTTGCTTTATAAATGAGATTTATAGTAATCATACCGAACCGAATTATTAAAAATCGCACGCCATTTTAGCAAACTTTTCGATTTAACATTCATATGTTTATAGCCTCTAAACTGGTGTCAAAAATTTAATTAAGCTTGATGTATACACTTGCGAGGTGACAGAATGGTAATTGAAAGCCTAATTATACTGTATATACATACATATAGGGTTTTAAAGATATATGTCATAAAAAATACTTAATTCTTAAATGATAATCATAGAAACGATACGAGGAAAATTGGTCACTGTTAAAAAATCGCCAGTTTTTAGAGTTGGACATTTGTATTAAAGAGTAGAACGAAACTTTGCAGTTTCATAGATTGTATACTTTCAATTATTTGAACATAATTTAATTTTAAAATACGACTGTGACTTAGTTTAGGTTAAAGAAAAAATTTCTAAAATAAATAATTATGTTTATTGACCTTGTCCACAGAAAATATACTTCTAGGTACACGGATACCCTGTACAATACAGAATTTAAATATTTAATATATCTACAAGTTTTATGTTTAGCTTTTTCAATTAATTCATAGATTTATGAGGTAGTTTAGGTACTGACCTGGCTGTGTGGAATGACGCATCGTCGGACGAGCCGGCGGCGCCAAAGGACACGCCGACAGCGAGTCCTTCAGGTATATTATGAACGGTGATCGCAACTACTAGAAGCATAATACGCTTCCACTGCGATTGCCGCGCCTCAAGCGTCCTCGTGACGCTGTCACGACGGTCACCTTCGCCGTTCTCACCAACTTTCTGAAATTAACAATAATATTTTTATCAACATGAGAACAATAATGCGCCAAAACATATCACACAATTCCACGGAAGACGACATAAACTCCATTTTATTTCGTGTAAAGATTAACGATATAATATTTTCATTATTACAAGAGTTCACACTATTGTTAAAAATAGCTGTTGTGTGAACATCGAAAAACTATAGCAACAGACGATATTTTTAAAGAAAAACAAATAGCGGACATACACAATATATTCCCTACACAGCCTATCTTTGCACAACTTCATGTTCATATCTTAATAAGATGATAACAAGTTAGATTTAATAATTATTAGTACGTTTTGAGAAACGAAACAAGACAAATAGCAAGTGTCGTGTTCGCCTAATCTTGTATGGGATACCCGGTTTTTCAGACCAGAGTTTGATTGCTGAGTCGTAACTACGTACGACGGCGTAGACGTACTACGAGCTATGAACTACGTACTACGCGCTACGAGCACCGTGTTGCTAGCTATGCATTACGCAGCAGGATCTACGCGCTACGATGTAAGCAATACGTAGTATGTGCAACGAGGTACTTACGTGCTACGCACTAAGGGCTTTTTTTTTTTAAGGGGGGAAAATCATCGAATTACTGCTCCCGCCTGGGTGAGGCGGAAGGGACGAGATTTCCGATACATGCTACTCTAACTAAGGATTACGTATATACGCGCTACGATTTATGCACTACGCAAAGACTACGAGCTACGAACTATAAGCTTCGTACGCAACGTGATACAGGCTACGCGCTTTTCCCGTCGCGACGCTCCGCATGCTACGCTCTACGTACTACGAGCTACGTAATTTACGCTACAAGGTAATCGCTATTTCTAAGCGCTACGAGATACGTGCTACGTACATACGCGCTACGAAGTATGCACTACGTAGATACTACGTGCCACGCGCTACGTATTACTCGTTGCAGGCTACACGCTACGTACAACGCCCCCTGAGCTACGAGCTACAAGCTACGTGGTACGAGCTAAGCGCTACGAAACTACTCGCTACTCGAGAAAATAAATGTGAAATACAAAATTAAGCAGCAGTATTCGATGTCTTGTTGATGACATGGACTCTTAACGAAACGTCTAGGTTTGTATTTTTAGATTCTTGGACACATCAATGGCAATATACTCGCAAATAATAAAGAGACAACATTAAATAAGCAAACTGGTGGAAAAGTTGACTTTATATTCGGTTCCGTCTTTCCTTTGGATGTTCATACAGAGTGTCACGAGATTCACCAATATATTGAACACATTTTTTTTTTGGTATACTATTTATCACTTCGTTTCATAGATTTCATATAATTTCTAAAAGGGACTTCTCAACTTTCTCATTTTGAGCCAAAAAAAAATTTATTAACAATATTTTAAAAGTTTATATGTAGGTATAAAGCATTTTTTGAATATAACAATAATTCTGTTGAACAATTCTATAAATTGTGATTGTGATTCAATATTAGACGCAAAACTATAATTAAATAGTTGACTTTTTTCTTTATTTAATAATATAAGATTTAATAATGTAAGAGAGACTGTCTCATTAGCTGAGTGGTCGCAAGTGAGACTGGCCGGGCAAGGGGTCTCGGGTTCGATTCCTGGGTCAGGGAAAGTAGTACTGGGTTTTTAAAAATAATCTCAGTGATACCACGGACTCTGGACTTATACCGGGCACATGCCTGGTATATGGCAATAGGCTCACCTCCTATTACAAGGAACTCATAACATAAATACTGAAAAGTGGGTGTTACATTGTACAGTGGCATTCACCTCTGCCTACCCCTTCGGGGATAAAAGGCGTGATATTATGTTATTATTATATAGTTTAAGATCCGTTAGACGATAAAAAAAATTTCAAAATTCCAACAGCGCCGTATCTATAGGGCAAGAGGCGCATATTAAAAATGTGTACCGGATTTATTGATCATTCGTAAGCGCCAATTAATTGGACAAACTAGTTTTTATTGACATTTTAATACTATTCGGATATTTATTATTATGTGCGTATTCGGTCTAAAATTTGAATAGCTAAACTTAAATCTAAAGGACCTTGCAGTTCGAAGGTTTTCCTCATAACTACTAAATTCAGCTTCTTATAACGTCCTAGGTTACTGAATTAATACTAAGTTGTGTAAAAGCGTTTTATACTTGGAAACGCCTGGACGGAATTTCAATATAATTATTTGATCTGTTAGAATCATCTCCGATATTTTTATTGTATTGAAAAGTTTACTAAAATAGATAAAAAACCTTAAAGAAAATAACAAGGAAAATATCATACGGGTCAGTAACACCACGAAGTAGCTGCGAATGCAATTTACCTATTTATGGAGACCGACGAGGAAAATTATTTCGAAAGTTCAAATCACCTACAGGTACTGACAAGGTCGCACGCAGAGTCATCGTTTACAACAAAATTGTCAGTGTATTGAGGAAAATGATAGATTTATAAAAAAAACAATATTCTTTTACAACTCTTTCATTCAGAAACTATTTCCACTTCGTAAACAACTGACTGTTTAATCCGTTAAACGCACGACTGAATATAAATAAAACTATTATAATAACTGCGTCAACATATGAAAAGAAGCAACTAAACTAAATTACTTATACTACAAGTTATCAAAATATTAATATTCAAGGTGAAAATGTAACCTATAAATAGGTACTTAACTATACGGGAGTCACGATACTCACGATAAGCTTACATACAAATACAAGTTGTTGCTTCGAAGACCTACTGCATGAGTGCTACTTCGTAAATCAATATTTAGTGTGTTATGAACTTGCCAGCGTCTAAACTACATGACCTACAGTTTCCGTATTAAAATGATTAGATGTTAGACGCCACTTTATTCGCTTAAACATGTGGTAGGAACAAATGTATTTTCTTAGTTCTTTCTATTCCAGTTCTGTTTGACCTTTTTGACATAATTGACTTACAGACAGGTGTTCATTTATCTAAACTTTCGCATTCATATTGAGTATGTAGGTATTGATCGATCAGTTTGCATGAATATTCTGTAAGTACCTATACTCTATTTTTAAATGGGTAAATTTATCCAATGATTTCTCCCGCCTTGGGTGAGGCGAGGAGGAATGTCAGACTTTTACTGACTAAAAACTACCCCGTTGCTACTCCTACTTCGAGTCGGAGCCCCTGCAACCCACTAGGTTGTCCGCAGCTCCAGCGGTACCTATACTCTGTGACAGCAGGTTCCTCCGGCTACATAATACTTTTATGGTCACAGGTTTCGTACGTCTGGCGTCTGTCTTTCAAGCTTTTATGACGTGAACATACACACGTTTTTGCACTGAGTCGCGCGATTCGAGCACCGACGCTATTATCAGAAATGTGACCTAGAGAATTGAAAGATTTTAATAAAATATTGATATTCGCAACACTGATAAGTATACATAAAAATTATTACTGTAGTACCTATAGTACAGGTTGAGGTGTAGTGCTATCCACATCAAATTAATTGCATTATTATAAAAGTAGATGCTTAGTCCTAAACCCGGTCAAGGCAAGATTAAGGAAGACTACATTGTCGACTGAGCGATAGTAGATAAAGTAAGGATATCCGATTCAATGTTTAAGTCCAGTATTCTGATTGGTATCTATCGAATTGAAAAATTTAGCCTGACTCGACTTGCTGAGATTCCCCAATAGCCTCGCTGACCCGAGGTTTGCACCCCACAGGGGCCGAGGGTACTTTCCGCGATTTGGTGTTTTCGTTTGTTTTATTGCTTTGGCTTGGGACATTAACTTAGAGGGTACTGCAAAGGTTAGAGCGGTTAAATAATAAATAGCCTAGTATTTAACCAGTGGTCCTATCCAAGAAAATATTTTACAAGTGGTGTGTTACCAGTGAGTGGTGAGAGTGGTGGTGCCCCCTGCGCCGCTGTGCGGTGTGCTGGTTGCTGATGCAGTCGGCGAAGTCTCCCGGCTGCTGCGGGTCCATGGTCACCACACTAGTGTTGTTCGACGGCCGCCTGTTCAGCGCCGTCATCATCTCCAAGTCTTCCAATTTCTCCTTTGAGTCTTTACTCTTTGTTATAGCTGGAATTCACAATATGCCCCATTAAATTTCATATTTAGGACCTTCTTTTAAAATCTACGATTACCTATAGTTATGTAGTCATTCAACCGAAATACTGTTAAATAAATAAACATTGAAAAGCGAAATTCGCCGAATCAAAAACTTTATTTAATAGGTAAACATACATATATTAAGTAAGTAAACTTTGTGGTGTATGTAAAGTCAAGTAAAAATCATTTAAGACGAAAGAGCAATGGCTTTTGGCGCCCCTCCACGAAGCGAGCGCAAAATAAGTGCATACTCGTACGAGATAGATAATGCGGGCTTTTATTGACTTTCGCTTGTCAAGCTTCAGGGGTTTAACAGCTTGAAGAGCACTCAGGTCATTGTATTTGTATGCGTTATATTACGTCATACATACATGGGTAGTTGAACCAAAACCCAACATGTAACTATGACAATCCCATCGTAATAGGAAGCGAGCCTATTGTGAAACACCATGCATTACAGATACAGCACCAATTCGTACACCCGCAAACATTTAGTCTGACGCTTGGTAGTTACACTTACGACCAACAGATTTAATTAAACTTTTACATAACAGTTACGCCTTATTGAATTGTATAGTTTCATATTATATTTGAGTTAGTAAGTACGTTATCGCTTTTGAATTTTATCTTCACGCGATCGTGGTTTTCAACACGTTCCTCGTAGTCATACAATCATAAAATATCAGAATCTCAAGGCATTATATTTGTTCGTGTGCATAATGAGTTACAAACTCAGTTCGCTTCAATACTATTATGACTGTTATTAACTACTAACTCCCGTAATATAATACTATTTAGTTAATATAAATGGTACTGTTTGTATATAGTGATAACAAACTACCATTGAGTTTAGATATATAAGTTAGTAGCTCAGTCTTACAGATAACATAGGAATCCTTCGCATAAAGTTTCTGAGAGTTTAAAATCAAAAAGGTACACGTAGACCATAACATAATATAATAAAAAAAGATAAGAGATACAACTATTTTAAACTCTCAAACACCAAGCGGTCACCGGTGACCGCGACCTATTGTTCTTTAATTGTGTCTATAAAACCGGTACTCGACGAGTTAACAAGGTAATCTTTGATTAAATACTCAATACTTCCTTGATCGTAGCAAAGTTTTGTAAAAAAACACAAAATATAATTTATACCGTATTCTTTTGAATTAACATAAAATAAGGAAAATGTTAAGTGCCAGTTATACCAGTGCGCTTTTTGTGGGCTCTGGGGATTTTATAAAATTATAAAGGAACTGTTATGGTTTTATAATAACTACTTCTATGAAATCGACAACAACAACAAGCATTGTTGTTATCGACTTTCACAAATTTTAAATTAGGAAACGAAATAGTTGCGCAGGATATTTTGATTTCAACATTTGTTTACTTTTATAGTCCTGTTTTTTGTAATTAAATTTTACATTCCTTATAAAATAATCTGAACCGAAACGTTCGTTTATAATTACCATGATCGGTTCAATACAATACGCTGAGTATATTAAAAGCAAGTAAAGTCCTCTTGAATCTAATTTATCTCCTACAAATCAATAAAGTTATCTGTTCAGCATTTGTGCACATACATTTCTCCAGTACTCAACGAAGTTTACGATATCGGACATCGGCTATAAATTAATATATTACAGTTTTCTTGGTCCTGACTTATTGATTACTGTAAAGGCTATTCAAATTTATTATCTACACAGCACTTATCGTAAATGTAGTAATATTAAAAATTAATATTAGTAGTCGATGATATTCATCGTTTGTTACTTTCAACAGTTTTACGAGGATTTGTATTTTTATTTCAATTAGAAGTTTTAATAAGTAACAGTAGTAACAAATTGTTCGATAAGGGTTAATTTGATGACTAGCTAGCTATTTTGAATGCTAGACGCAAAGAGAATATAACTTCTAGGTAGACGTAATTATTCAAAGGCAAATAGTTATAATTATGTTCTTTCACCCATTGTTCCCAATTGTTCTTTTATAACAGAAAACTTAACAAAAAATAGAAGGTGTATCAAATATATACTTGAAATTATAAGTGTCGAAAACAATTCGCAGAATTTTTATTAAGTAGGGGAACACCCGATCATGTTTAATATAAATTCCAACATCACTTATTTATAAAAGACGAAACTATTTTTGATAAATCTACAATGCGTCCCAACGTATATGTGTACCTACAAAATTACATAGTGCAGTTTAAATTGCAACAAAACTTCCTTATGATCACAAACAAAAACAGGTTTATTTTATTTTCTGAATCAAGTACCTAACATTTTTTGCAAGTAACTAGGTACACTGGGTACGTTACTTTAGTGCGCAAAATGTACTGTTTTTTACTGTTTTATTCGCGTTACTGTCGGGATTACTACCTAGTTTTGGACTCGAAAACTGGTTGGTCAATTCCTCAACATACTTTGAACATGTGTCGACGTTATATGAAAACAGGTTTTAGTTTCATATTTTACATATTTACGAGTAAATACAGTTTAAGATTTAATGGTACTTATAAGAGTACCTTTGACGAATTTTCTAACGTATACCCGACTTAATCGTCAACTGGCGAGCGCGAATCTCGCGAGCGCGCGCGAGTTGGCACTTTTCGATTTTGCCTACTTTTTTTGTCGTCAACTCGCGTGTCTATATAATTTGATGTTTTAATGTATAGTCAGCTACAAAAGCGTTATAATAAATTTAATTTAGTTAGGTACTTACCTACTATAAATGTATAAGAAACTTTATGAAATTTGATTTTTAAAATAAAACAAAATATACATCGTTTTGAAATCAGTTTATTATAAATCAACAGGACAAAATATAAATTATTAGTAGTATTTCCCTTACTAATTATCAACAATATCACATTGATTTGAGAATTTGGCTTATTATCTCATTATCTAGTATGTAAATTGTAAAAAACTAAGTAAATAAAAAAGAAACAACGAAAACACTCCCCTCACATACTCGTATACAAAATTATATGTGAGGAGATTTTCGATAAATCTCATAATATAAATAATTTAAACCGTACTGAATATTGGTAAATATAAAATAGTAAAGCTAAACATAGTAATTGACAACAAACTGACTTATTATTGCTCACTAATAAAATCAATCTTAGGAACCATAGAAAGAGTCTTAGAAACTATAAAATCACAGATCAGATATGGTTGTAAATGATTTTTACAAAAAACGCTAAACACTATCAATAAGTAGATTCATCAATTGGCTAAGTTATTACTGACGACCTACTAATAAAACTAATCACAGACTATAAAATAATATATAAAATCACAGATCATGGTTTGTTATAAGTGATTTTTATAGCAAACGTTAAAATAAACAGACTATGCTAAATTAAATCAAAAATCACAAGATCAAAAGTTCGATACATAAGTCAATATTTATAACCCCATGGATAAATTCGTTAACAGTGTTGGTAATGTGCTCGTCAATAGCACAAGTTTCTTTACATTTTGCAGTTATATTAGACTTCTTTAAGTATAAAGTCTGATAATAATTATCTTCTTCTTTTAAGATGGTCAAAAAATGAGCAATACTTTTGGGTTTGCTATTAATTTTTTTATTTACTTAGTTTTTTACAATTTACATACTAGATAATAAGATAATAAGCCAAATTCTCAAATCAATGTGATATTGTTGATAATTAGTAAGGGAAATACTACTAATAATTTATATTTTGTCCTGTTGATTTATAATAAACTGATTTCAAAACGATGTATATTTTGTTTTATTTTAAAAATCAAATTTCATAAAGTTTCTTATACATTTATAGTAGGTAAGTACCTAACTAAATTAAATTTGTTATAACGCTTTTGTAGCTGACTATACATTAAAACATCAAATTATATAGACGCGCGAGTTGACGACAAAAAAAGTAGGCAAAATCGAAAAGTGCCAACTCGCGCGCGCTCGCGAGATTCGCGCTCGCCAGTTGACGATTAAGTCGTATACCCTTGTGAACTCTGAACTTATTTACTACTCTTATTACTCATAGATAAGTCTTACTAGATAATATTTTAAATGCATAAACATCATTAGAATTCTTCGAACTTCAGCATACGCAGAATTATTCTTATTTTCTATTTCTATATTAAAAATATTTAAATTCACAACAGCTAATAAATAATGAATATACGGGTAATATTCAGTATAGGAAATAAATTAGTTTATACTAAGACTACTCAAAACCATATTTCATGTAAATTGTTAAGGAATTAAAGGAGACCGGAAGATACGTGTAGGTAAATTAAATTATAATGCGGGTTCACATTATTATAATTTATAAATAAAATCATTGTTAATTATTTACTGCAGACAATGTTTTGTCTTGGTGATGGATTTAAATACCCATAATTATAAAATCACAATTAAGATTAACGCGTAGCTTTAATAAGGTTGAACCAGCTGACAGAATATTTATCAGTACTTATGCATATTGTTATGATATTGACAGTATAATATTCCACGTCTAGATAAGTAGAAGTCATAGTCGCGTGTTTCGTGAAAAGTGCCAACAATTAATTTGGCTGACTCGTATGAGGGCAAAGGTAAAGACAACATGATTTGTATGCAATGTTAACACTTAAGATTTGCCAAAATTTAATATGAAGGTTATTGAGTGTCGTCGGAAAGCAGGTTTAACGTGTTCTAGAGTTTGTTGAATCCTTTACTCTTCTTGTTGTTGTACACAGAGGTGGGAATATTAGTCGAAAGTCTACGCGCGTCGTAAGGTCGTAGATGATTTCTTATTTGATCTTGACAGTCAATACCTCAAAACTGACGTGTTTCTTTTTAAATAATCTTACACTTTCAATTGATTTTCCGCTTCGTTTAAAGTACCTAGTTTTTAAATGTGAAACTAATCGTTGCATGGGCTGCAACAACAATGAATTAAACGCATGCACCATAAAGATAACAGATTTTATGTCCCAGATTGGAATATGTCGCACAACCACGGAGATACAATCACTTATTATTTATTACTATGCCAATGCTAGAGATATAATCAGAATCAGTCAATTATGTGTCATTACTCACCCTTAAAATAATATTCTAGGTAGTTTTCTATTAATCGTTATTTATAAAAATCCCATGAAACTTTACTACTTTTAGTTTTTCGAAAGAAAACAGGATTTTTCGAAAGAATTCAGAAATCTTTAATTTTTTTACGCCTTGTAAATACAAATTAGTTACGCGCGTATTTATTTGTTGCAGATTGTAAGTTACTTGTAAAATTAAACATTTATTCTTAAGAGAAGTTAAAATAATTCCTTATAAACTAATAATAGCTTTAAGTTTTTATGTATTAGCTACTTATCATATTTTTATAAGCAAAACTTTATAAGAAGTCTTATAACACAACATTTACTAGGCCCGATGTTTCCAACACCATAATAATATGAATTATAACCAAGGAATAACTTTAAATATTTGACAATTCATCCATGTGAAAAACTGTCAAATGTCAATTTTATTGTATACTTAGTTAAGAATTAATGGATGATTGAGAAATCATAACAAACAAATTACTATAATAATATAATTCCTGTTGTGATCTAATAAGAGACTAAAGGTCTAAAGAATTTAGTAATTTTTTTGCTTGAAACAGCTAATATTAAGAACTACTGGAATCAATTAAACTGTCAAACACCAAGTGGTCACCGGTGACCGCAACCTATTGTTCTTTAATTGTGTCTATAAATACGGTACTCAACGAGTTAATATCAGGCTGTAATAGGTAAGTACCTAATTTTAGTAGTAAGTCTGGCTATTAGTTATTACAGAATTATGATTCATATGAATCAAAAGTAGTTTATGAACTTGAAACATGCACCATAATGATAATAGGTTGTCGGTAGTCCATTAACAATATTATCAGATCCATCTAGAGCAAATTGTAAAATGGCACACCACTTTTATAATTTATAATATTGATAAACGTGATAATAAATTGAAGCATTTTGACTATAAAATTAAAAATAAAGATCCAATAATTATAGAAAAGTATTCAATAAAATTAATTTCATTGACTCTTTGTGTTTAAAAATAAAGGTCTAGTAAAAAATGTCAAGTTATTGCCTATCTAATCTAAAATAATGTTTTTCTTTAGATAACAGGTACTCTACAAAATGCAGATAAGTAAATATGTAAAAAAATGTGATTGAATAAATTATTTATGAATCCCTATCAAGTTAAACAAATTCTTGCAACATTGCAAAAAAAATTGCCACTGGTAAAAAAATAATACATGCATTGCAAAACAAGCAAAAAGTTTTGATACAAGTCTACAATTTATAAGTCACTGTTGTGTTGTTAATCTACAATACAAGACTAGTTCGGACCAATGATAGTTACAGTCATGAACCTCAGAATTCAAAGTCTATATTGTTTCTCTTTAACTAACTAGTTACTGCTACTGTTACTATGGGTATTTTAGATGCATGAATTAAGTCTAAAACCAATTAAAATGTAGATACCTATAATCATTTCCCCAAAATGTATCTTAAACATATTTTGTTCCATAAATAAGTACTCTTTCGATAAAACTTTATGGAAATTGTGTTTTTTTAATCCTTTATCTGTTACTTATTAAATAATTAATGAGTTGTGTATCCATCTAATGGTAATTTACTAGACTTGTGGATTTTTTTTAATTATTGTGAATAAGTTGCAAATAAAAAGTAATGACTAATTAACCACTTGAATGCCGGAATATAACACACAATAGAAAATAAATTGTGATTCGCGTGGAACCGCATTTAGGTACACGACAGATTGAGGGCTTGTTTCACAATGTGTAGATAGCTGCTATGTGACCGATAAATTTGAATTAGCGATGCAATTAATATGAATTATCTGCCTCCTAAGTTTATCAAGTACTTATATGAAGGTGGTGATGAATAAAAACTATAATATAGTTAAAACATTTCAGCAACATAATATGTTGCTGAATTGTTTTAACTTCTCTATATAGGTATCTAGTCTGTTATTTGATTATATGCGGCCAGTATCAAAATAATTATGTGTTGCCAATCAAAAGCAGTTTAAAAATTACTGAAGGTCACCTACAAAAATTCGGTATGCTATAAACTTTAGCAAAATTAACATAAATAATGCATGTACAATAAACACAAAAAGTTAAGACGTGCAAATAATATTTATCTGAAATTATTTGCAGCGAACAAACTTCATTAGAACAAAAGTGACTCTATTTATATTGTTTATTATGTGTTATAGCATATTCAGTCATACAGTCATTTTATGATTTGTTGTAAACAACTTTGCAATATAGAAATAACATGATATTGAAGTATAAGTATCAAAATGAAATCATTCAGATATTAAAAAATGAAATTCTAAAGTAGACACAAGAAGTCAAGCTCAGAGGCAGAGTAGTAATTGCTTAATTGTTATTTTGCTTGAAGGTTACTGTATGTCTGTGTATTTATGTAGGTGCATACAAATAATAGGTAACTATGTGTGTAACATGTATCAATCATTATTGTATCAAAAGTAAACAATATTAAGTACTCACTTATCATCATTCCAGTCGAGTTTATTCCTAAATAATCCAGGAACTTATCAGTTCCAAATACAAACACAGCTCCAAACAAGAATCCAAAGGCCACTGGTAGGAAGGCATACTGGCCCTCTGATCCATAAATATTTGATCTTTTACACATGTTTATAGCTGGCTCTAGAAGAGACCAGTAAGACGCTGCAGTCATCACTCCCGCCGCAAAGCCCAATGACACGTCAAGTAATTTTCTCTAAAAAATAATAACAAATCAATAAGCTTCCGTCGATACCACATCTTAGAAAACTTTCCCGAATTTAAGTGTAAGTAATAACAAAAACTTACATGTTTTCCTCTTATAAAAAACACACAACCGGCCCCCACAGCAGTTAATCCCCACGTCAGAAGGGTCCCTAAAAGGGCCTGTGTTACTGCACCGTATCCTTCTATCATTTTGTATTATTTATTTCTAAGTAAACAATTATAAGTTAAGTACTTGTTATCACATAAACATTTTATGTGAACGAATTTCTAAACTAACACGAACTTCACCATCATATTATCGACGAGACTCGCGACTTAAATCTTTTTATACATTCCACATGTTTTTATCGGAGTTATGACCTTGTGATGTGACAGATTTTAGACACAGATAATTTCGTTCGAAACTGTCAGTGTCAAGATATAATGCTACCAGTGTAGAAAAAATAAAATGAATACCTTGTTTAACGTACGTCGTCTTTAGATTAGTTTTCTGCTTTATAGTAAAATTACAATCTTGATGAATAAAATACTACAAAACACAAAGCATAAGGTTCACCTTTATTTCATTTCTCTATAAATAATTGTACGAATTGCGGAATCGCGGATTTACATTTTTATTGAAGTATACAGCAAGTATACAGTTCAGAAACGAATTTATCACAGATAAATAAAAGGGCAGAGAATTGAAATGTTCTGAATTAGAGTTTGTTTCAGAAAATAAAAACAGTATTGTACTTACATACATAACTTCACGCCTGTCTCCCATGGGGATAGACAGAAACTATGGAATGCCAATTACTACGATAGTAATACTTCAGGAATTATTTATTGGCAATTTGTTTTTATGGAATTACCGATAAAAGAGCAGACGGGTCATCTGATGATTAGCAATCGGCCATGGCAACTGGAACACCAAAGGCGAAACAAGTGCGTTACCGGCCTTTTGGGGATTACAAATTTAAGGATTGTTGGATTGGGATGCTTGGGTGAGTATAGGCTGTTGATGAATACGTTCAAACCATATACGAGTCTAATTAATTATTTTTAAATCATTTTTTGAAATTATCACAGATTTGCATAACATGCGCAAGATGTTTATAAACTAGGTGCGTACTAATGTTAATTTTTAAGTGTGGGAGACCCGTGCTTCGGCACGAATGGGCCGGCTCGACCGGAGTGATACCACGGCCTCACAGAAAACCGACGTAAAGCAACGCTTGCGTTGTGTTTCGTCGTGTGAGTGAGGTTACCGGAGGCCCAATTACCCTCCCCTTCCCCAATCTCCCCAATCGCTGAATCCCCATCGATCCTCAAACTCCTAATCCCCAAAAAGCCGGTAACGCACTTGTAACGCCTCTGGTGTTCTAGGTGTCCATGGGCGACGCCGATTGCTTACCATCAGGTGATCCGTCTGCCCGTTTACCGGCTTATTCCATTAAAAAAAAACTAAACAAAGTAATAAAACCCACGGAGACATTTTAAAATGTTGATTATTGATAGCAAAAAGTGATCAGATCTTTTTGAACTCTACATGCTCAGCCCTAAAACTATGATACACCCTAATTCGAAATTCTACTGCCGTAGCTCGTAACGCACAGTTCGTAGCGCGTAGCACCTATAGCATTGTCCTGCTATTAATTTCGTGGGTGTGCAAACCAGTGTAATACCTCTCAAGGTGTATAATATGAAGTACTTACACTGGAAGCCATCAAAAGGGAATGTATTTCAAGAAGCGGTAAGTCTTATGGGAATAAATCTTTTATGGTATTACCCCTTAAAAAAAACCGTAACCGTCACTTACGGCGGTCCACATTCTATTCGATCAACAAAAAAGTCGTACCTACATACTTTCTTAATAGGTGAGGTATTTATTTGATTAAGTTGTCAGAATTTAATGCAATTTTACCTGAATGTAATTTTTTTGTTAATTTGTATTTTGTATGCTTATCTTTACATACAGAAACAGGTTCATTACTAGTAGGTACTTACTTGTAGGTGTTTATGGGTTTTAGTGAAAATAGATTTCTTTTATTATTTTATCAATACTTACCCACGTGTTACATAAAATATATATACATACCTACATCACAACACAGGGTAAGTAGAAGTACAGAATATCTAATTTTTGCTTGATGCTTATTTATATTTTACCTGACTAGGGGATCGAACCTGAGTTCACCAGTCGAAAGTACGAATCGGTCTCTAATCGTTATCAAGTCAATCAGCTTATCATCTTGTTTACCTGCTGTGTTCACACAAAGATTGTTCTGTGTGGAAAGCGAACCTGAGATGCGTTGCATATATCGGTCAGTTCACGTAGTACATAAGCCATCAATGGAGTACCTAAAGAGTCAATAATAATAAATGTGAAAATTCATAACATGGTGGCAAAAGAATTAGGTTCCTATAAATTTTTAAAATGACCTCGGTGTTAAGACAATCCTTTCGACTTACATTCAAACTTCCAATCTCTCACCGGAAGTGGAGTCATTCCACAAATTGTCATACAATTAGTGCCACAATCTCGTACAAAAGAAATGTTAATTTACCAAATGTGGTTAAAAGTCACGCACGTATAGGGATAAAGCATTTAATGTAATGTGTGTTTTACTTTAAATTGTGTACCTACACGTTAATTTCTTTCATATCTGTTTAACCGACTTAACAGTTAAATGAAATGAGTCAGTTGCACCGACCGCCGTTATAATGAGATGGCATTAATTAAAGAAACACGTGGCATCATTTAAGTCCTTAGACAAACTATTTATTTTATCACATGAGATATCAGTCACGTCGCCGTCCCACTGACGAAAACTTGGTTTATATTAAACCGCTTTTATGGCCCTTTTAAATTGCTATAAGAAACAATTAAATAAGTAAGTAGTATTTTTAAATTGCCGTGAAAAGTGACACGTTCTCGAGTCTAGTACGTATGTAGTAGTTATATCTAAATTATAAGCAAATATTTTTCGTCCCCGGTAGGCATCTAGCTGACAATGTCTTATGTCGGGAGTGGAGACAATTACAGTTCTATTTACATTTACTTCTCATAGAAAAAGACATATGTAATGACTTCATTATCTACATAGATAGACAACACCCGTTACAATAAAAATCTCCGTATTGTAATTTCCTTGGGCATATTGTCCCCATTAGAATACTTGCAAGAAACGTCCGCGAGACAGTTAGAACATCGACGTAATTACCGGCCCTGTTATTAGTGACAATCACATATTCCACTCGTATTGGTACCTTATTTGTATTGTACTGGTACATTACATTTCCCCAAAGAGACAATGGCACCAGTCGTCGACAGCTGCATCTAATTACATTTACCGATATTGTAATTACATCGTAATTTTACAGATTTTATTAGCGTATCGTTGTGACCTCGTCTCGTTTTGTGTTCTATAGGTACCGTAAACGTGTCAGTAGACCGTTATATTTTCACAGATGCGTCTCCGAAGGTGGAAATAAAAATGCAATGTTTATTTACTTACCCTACCTGGCTACCTCTTACATTGACCTGATTATAATGATAACAATCGAGCATGATATAAATTCATGTAGATGTATATGCATTATACATATATTCATTAAATGTAACTTAAGCATCTAAGTAAATATACATGCGAGAGCCATTTAATAGAGAGTTTTTTATTCTACGATGTCTTAAAATTCAGAGGTATTTTAGCATATAAGTAGACAGAACAATTACTAGTCTTCCTTTGTAACTTAAACAATCTTAATATTGTCTAATTCATTAATTCCATGAACAATATCATATTTCCAACTTGTAGCTACCTAATTACCTATACAATACATAAACCTAATTACTAATTTGTAAACAAATACAAAACATGTGTTTGACCGATATTTTAAACTTGCACTTGACTTGTTTTTCATGTCACCTACAACCTAATGATAAATAACAACTTATAGTGCGTGCAGTCTAGGTACCTACTTAAGGCTTGAATGGCGAAATGTGCACGCAGAGCTGGCGGCCACAGGCATTACATTAACCACCGTGCGCCGGCGCAGCAATCGCTGGGCGGCTCTGTCGCGGTGTAGCATTATGTCCCGCATGCTCCACATTCACCACAATTAGCGGGGAGGTTCCTCGATACCTCATACAGACAGCAAACTATATTGCCTCCTTACCTTCAAACGGCTTTTGATAGCGAGCCAGCTATCAAGTAAATAGACACTGTCAGGTAATTACACCTGAAACTGAAGTGAACAATACACCTTCCTGGCAAGATAGAGGCGCGCACTCATAAAGATATAATGCCAAATAAAACAAACAAGAGTCATTACGCGTCTTATTCCGGTGATCTAAATCACACAACGAGACAGCCATATAATTTGATGTTCGAAGCTACGCAACTGTTACAAATCTCATGAGCGAGTGACGTGGTCTGCGTAGACGCAGCCACCGTAGCGTTAAACGAACAAAACATTCCGCTAGATCGTCATTATTCAAATTTTCGCTGTACTAGTTGCCCGCTTGTTCCGGCCTCTGCTTTTTGTCCTATTTCGTACTAGTCTGAAATTACGATTAGTCCGGTCAAAATGAGATGCGGTCATCCGTGGTGGATGGCCGTGTGAACGGTCCGTTATCCAAACAGCTTGAGCGGTTAGTGGAGATGCTCATTGTCTTGAAGGTTCTGATGAAACGGAAGTGAGCACAGTTTGACAGTTTGTTTAAACTTGGAAGCATTAAAGCAGAAAATTGTTGGGCATTTCTGGTCAAAACTGGACCAGCTTCATGAACATCTACGTATTTTAGCGGAAAGCCTACGGTTAAATTCAAATTGTTTTTATAGAGGTCGATAAGTAGGCCACGTTAAGAAAATATTTAGATTATATTATATTCAGTAGAAATTAAAGATCAACGTTCTGAATTACATGAATAATCTTTCAGCGGTATTGCCGCTGAACTATCACAAAATCTTTACCAAATAAATAATATGTTCGAAAATAATCCTAATTATCCCATTTAGTCGCATCGCCGTTGGAGTAGGTACTCGGGTTATTACTCCTCATCAAAAACATCTGCTAAATAAAACACAAGAAGAACAAAAATTCTAGCTTCAGAACACAAAGTAATAATCAGAATGGCACCGTGATAATTAGAACTAATTAAGTAGGCTTTAGAGATTTTACCGAAAAAAGCGGTTCGTTTGAAAAATTCAAGAAATCGATTTTTTACCTCAATCGTCTGGAATTTTTTTTGTTTTTGTCAACAGTTTAATGACACCTCGTAAGTACCTTTCCCTCGTCTGCCGTTAGTTAGCTTTTAAACAGCCAGATAATAAAGATATGGTATTTTTTTTTCAAATCGTTTAACTATCCGTTCGCATCAATTCATTAGTTGGCATTAGCTAGTGAATTGCCAATTCAATGTTTGGATCCGACAAATAAGGAAGATGATTTTTTCAATTTTATCGTTCTATTACAATTTCATGAATGCCGAGAAACGAAATCCTTAATCATTTTTGTGCGATTATTTCACTGAAAACTTAATTTATATCCTTCAAATGAAATCTTCTAATTTTGTGTCTTTTTATAAAACGTTGCCCCCATTGATATCCTTATCCTTAACTAATATTATAAATCGGAAAGTGAGTTTGTTTGTTTGTTCCACTTTCACGCCGTAACTACTAAACAGATTGCTTTGAATTTTTGCAAATGTGAAGTTAGAAGTCTGGATTAAATAATAGGGTAGGTACTTTTTATCCCGGAGAAATTTTATATTCTTGAGGGAAAACGAAATTGGCGCTGTGTATATTGGTATATGTCACATAGGCTACTTTTTATCCTTTTGTGACGCGAGCGAAGCCGCGGATAAAAGCTAGTATTTTATATTTCTGTGGTTGCCCCACATTAGAATTTTCTCCAGTTTGGTCGGTGCGTAAAACATACAATTTTACATGACACCCAGACCCGGAACAACAATTTGTGGATCATACAAAGAGTTGGTCCGTGCGGGAATCAAACCCGCTACCCGTTGCACGGCAGCCAGTTGCCCAGCCACTGCACTCACCGTGCAGTCAATTAACTTTCTTAAGTATAAGAGACTCTTAGAGCAATATTCTCTTGGAGCTTCTGTGGTAAATCGTGATTACGAATGAATGAATTACAGTACAGATAAAATTAGGGCGAGTGACTAACAAAAATATTATATAGGTCTCGAGAACCTCTTGTTCGGCAGCCACACAAGACCCAACGAAGATTCAGAATGTTACGGTCAAGAGTAACATTATAACAACTTAATAAGAACTGTACCTACTTTCCTAATTTTTGAATGTTTTACACAGAATTCCATGCTGACCGTTTCAACACTAGCGTTATAAAATATGCGGTTTTACTGATTTCCATGTACCTAAATGTAAGTATATTACCGCACTCAGTTATATAACGGGTCTACATACTGTTGAGATCAATTTCGGTGCATTGGCTGATGATTTTTTAGAATGACAGGTGTCATTGTAGCATGCGGAAGAGGGACCATAGATCATAGAATTGGATTCGCATCACACGTCAAGTAATGGCGGTAAAAACAGCAGCAAGCTCGCGTGCCGTGCGTTTTCCGGCGCTGTTGTTATTGTCACATCATATCGTAACAATTTACTGCACAAATTCCTTTACATCATTGCAATCGCTGTAAGCTGCATTATTTGTTTAATGGTTGTTTTCCTCTAGTGACTAGTCAGTTGGTTGTTTTTGTGATAT